GCTTTTGTGGCACCTGCCGTCCACCACCTACATGGGATCAAGGAGGGTTATTCAGAGGTCAAGGCAGAGGCTCCCCGCCTGCCAACAGGGGGCGCTGTGCCACCACTCCCCTCACCAAATCCAACCTCACCTCTTACCAAATCCAACCACTCCCCAAATCCAACCACACCCCTCACCAAATCCAACCACAAACAGGGGGCGCTGTGCCACCACTCCCCTCACCAAATCCAACCTCACCTCTTACCAAATCCAACCACTCCCCAAATCCAACCACACCCCTCACCGAATCCAACCACACCCCTTACCGAATCCAACCTCACCTCTTACCAAATCCAACCTCACCTCTTACCAAATCCAACCACTCCCCAAATCCAACCACTCCCCTCATTACATCTAACTGGAACTCCCCTCACCAAATTCAACCTCACCCTCACCATATCCAACCACTACCCCTCATCATATTCAACCACACCCCTCACCAAATCCAACCACTACCCCTCACCAAATCCAGTCTCACTCAGCACCAAACCCAATCACACCCAGAATGGAATCCAACCTCACTCACTCAGCACCAAAGCAACTCCATCTAGAACCAAAGGCAACTACACCCGGTCCCAAGTCTAACCACACCCTGCCCCAAGTTTAACCTCAGTCGGCACCACACGCCCTCACTCCGACTCGGACACTGCACGGGCCCGGGCACTCCCCGCGGCCCAGTGTGGAGGGTCCTGCCCAGGGGTAACCGGTCTCCAGCAGCGCGGCTACCTTTTAAACACTGGGCTTGAAACCATTCCTAAAGCCCCCGACATCTCCGTCCAGTTCAGAGCACCTCGTTTTATTGCCGAGAGTCTGTTCCTGGCTCACAGGTGGCTCAGCGCACTGCTGCTGCCTCTCCACACCCGTTGCCTGCTCTAAGCCACGGTCCTGCCACCTGCGCCACCGGCAGCCATCCCGTGCCCCGGTGCGAAGGGCCGCCTCTCGGAGCATCACCACAGCCCCCTTCCGCTGCTTATCCATCGGGAGCCACTCACACTCACACCGAGAATGGCTCTCTCCTGGTCATGACAGTTTCTCAAGCCAACGCCTGAGCCTAACACACGGTGTGGATGCCTCCTGGCACAAGGCCCGCTTCAGCACGTCCTTAAAAATGCTTTCTTCACGCGTTAGAGTTCAGACTCTTCATGCTCCTGATCCAATGGTTGGTGAAAACATGGAGCATCATTCCTTTATCAAGAGACAAGCCCGCCGAAACCGGTTTGGCTCAGTGGATAGAGCGTCAGCCTGTGGACTGAGAGGTCCCAGGTTGGACTCCGGTCAAGGGCATGTACCTGGGTTGCGGGCACATCCCATGTAGGAGATGTGCAGGAGGCAGCTGATCGATGTTTCTGGCTCTCCATCCCTCTCCCTTCCTCTCTGTAAAAAATCAATAAAATATATTTAAAAAAAAAAGAGACAAGCCCATCTGGCCTGCTCCTGGTTGCAGCTCTTTAGACGTGAGGAAACGGACTTGCCCATATCCACCCATCACTGCCCCATCGACGGTGCCCATTCTCGAGCCCGGCCGGTGTGGTTCATAGCATCATCCTATGAACCAGGCGGTCAGGGTTTGATTCCCGGTCAGGGCACAGGCCTGGGTTGCAGGCTCGATCCCCAGTGTGGGGCGTGCAGGAGGCAGCTAATCCATGATTCTCTCTCATCACTGATTTTCTTCTCTCTCTCCCTCTCCCTTCCTCTGTGAAATCATTAATGTTTATGTAAAATAAGTAACTAAATTGAGGTTGCCGTCCCTTCAGGAAAAGGCAGCGTGGGGGAGGGGGCGCGGGGGGGAGGCTGGAGGTTTCTTTAATGAGCTACCGAGCATGTTTTCTTTAAATCGGACAGTGGTTCCCTTTGGGAAAGAGGATGAACGGACATGAAATACAGGCCACTGCTCCTTCGGAGCGCGATTCCCAGGCGCGGCAGGCCCAGCCTCGCACAGAGGGGCATTCACGGGGCGCTGACACCCCGCCAAGGCGCCCTGCTCCTGCCTCGCACGCGGACAATGGCCACTTGTCCCGGGAGCCTGTTCCCTGCGGTCAAAGGCAAATTGTGAGGGTGACCAGGCGGCGAGGCGGCATCGAGGGGCCACCTGACAGCCTCTCGGGGCTCCCTGCACCTGCAGCCGGGGCGCCAGGCACCCGCG